AGGAGAGGACTCTTTAAAGTAGAGACACTCCATACTGATATACACCTGAACATCAGCAGGAGAGGACTCTTTAAAGTAGAGACACTACATACTGATATACACCTGAACATCAGCAGGAGAGGACTCTTTAAAGTAGAGACACTGCATACTGATATACACCTGAACATCAGCAGGAGAGGACTCTTTAAAGTAGAGACACTACATACTGATATACACCTGAACATCAGCAGGAGAGGACTCTTTAAAGTAGAGACACTGCATACTGATATACACCTGAACATCAGCAGGAGAGGACTCTTTAAAGTAGAGACACTGCATACTGATATACACCTGAACATCAGCAGGAGAGGACTCTTTAAAGTAGAGACACTACATACTGATATACACCTGAACATCAGCAGGAGAGGACTCTTTAAAGTAGAGACTCTACATACTGATATACACCTGAACATCAGCAGGAGAGGACTCTTTAAAGTAGAGACACTACATACTGATATACCTCTTTAAGACTCTTTAAGACCTGAGGACATCCACCCTTCAACTACCTCTCTGAAGCAGGTGGTTTCTCTGATGCCAATGACTTCCTCTTGGTGAAGAAGGCTTCCTTGGTGACCAATCGGACGCTGCCCCCCTCCTGCTGGGCCTTGCTCAGGGAGGCCTCGGCCACATCGTCTTTACCGAGGTATCTGTGAAAATAGGATAAACGGAGGATTTTCAGACGTTATATAACCAGAAGAGCTTGAAGAGAGCTGATTCACATGTAGTGGGTGCAAGGAGATAGATTCACCAGCTCTCTCTGGACAGCATTAGTACCAGGTAAGATGGGAAATTCAACGTTGCTCAAGCATATCTGAGTCATGTGGCGGTGGGACTCACCCACATGAATGTAACACACACCGACACCCACAGAACTGGCAAGCCTCTACAAACAGTGCAAAGCAGCAAAACTCACCTTCATTGCTCATTTTCAATTCTTTCTGTGAGTTTTGATTCTGTTTCTCCTCTTCCCCTGCTGGATCCTATCACTTCTCCTACTGCACAAATCTAATTTCCCCACAGGGATCGTCAATCATGTAATCTAATCCATCCAGCCCGCCCGCCTGCCCCTGGTTTTTATGGCCCCTTGTAATACAGATCCTAGGTGTGCAAGTTGAAAATTGCATGAAACACTACATGTCAATCTGGACGGGATTAAAATGACCCCAGGGCGACGGAGTTGACAAGAAATACAGGATAGAAAGAAATATCTGACTTGTTTGTTCTAGCTGGAGGAGAATTGCTGCGATCTTGAGAGAAAAGTGAGCAATCAGATGATTTAGGCTTCAACAGAGGGCCGCTGTAATGGCTCGCATTCAGCAATTATCCCTCCTCTGTCCTCCTGTATAGAGGTCAGAGGTCAAAACTGAAGTCCTGCAGTGGGTAGAGGCTCGTGGTTTCGCTCAAAGACAGAGGATGTTGAATGCTGAATTTTGCAAATAAACCAGCTACTTTTCTAGCATAGGTTTCACGTTCTGCAGGTATGTCTACGATTCTGTGTTAGAAGCGCAGCATTTGACAAATATTCAGCCTTCTTGTAGAGCAGGGCTTCTCAAACTCCGGATCCGGACCGAACTGCAAATCAATCCGGACCGAACCCTGTGTCCCATTATTAAAAAAAAAGAAAAAGAAAAAAAAAAGATTCTGATGTAAATTAAAGTGGACCTATTATGCTATATTGGAAAAAATATATTGTAGGGCCATACCTATACAAATATAGGTCTGTGAACAGTTCACCCATTTTAGCCATGCCTCATACTGCTCATACCCTGTTAGAGAAATGCGGATTTTGGGTCCTTAGCTTGAAAAAAAAAGAGGAGGCGGAGCTAATGCCTGATCAGAATTCTACCGGAGATAAAGTTAAATTCTGTTGTAATAAAACGCCATCCTGTTCTTATCCACATCAAGGAGTATTTCTGAAACAGTATGGATCTCAAATGCTTTTTCTCTTGCGGGTTTATCACAAGGTGAGTTCCTTTTTTGATTTCCTGCTTTTTAAACACGTGCTCTCCAGTACAGGTTAGCTCTGAGTGTTAGCGATGCTAATGTAAACAAAGACGAGATTACGTCCAAAACACGTTCAAAACGCGTCAGGCATTGTTTCTGATAGCAATTTTCTGTGGGTCCGCTGCCGATTTGACGTCAGATTGGCAGCAAATCTGTATCTGCTCGTTGTACCCCTGTTTTTAAAAGATTTGGGTAGCCTACGGAGGAAAAGAGAGCGGGTTTTATTTTCTGACGCTGCGTGAGTTCCCCGACGCACCGCGGACACATATTTAAGTATAAAATACATCACAAAGTGCATTTTGCATGATAGGTCCCCTTTAATGTATATTGTCTTGTGTCTGAGGCGTTCTGAGAATGAACGTGCATATATTTACTTGTGTGCGCGAGTGTCACACGCATTTAAGTTAACCACAAGTTTACCTTGACTTTCTAATGCTTCTAATGCCATTTTTGCCGAGGTTCAAGGCATTGGCTACAGACAAACAGTGCCATTTCTCCCACTAGTTCAAGCCATGATACTGTATGTATGTATGTATGTATGTATGTATGTATGTATGTATGTATGTATGTATGTATGTATGTATGTATGTATGTATGTATGTATGTATGTATGTATGTATTGAATGTCTGTGTGTATACAGGGGCGCCGTTTACCGACAGGCAAGTGCTTGGACCAGAAGGGGGCCCCCAAATAAGGTAGATTAATCCAATCCAATCCAACTTTATTTATATAGCACTTTAAAACCTCGTGACCAAAGTACATGCATAGCGCGCCGAAACTGCTTCTTAATTTCAGTTTCGTTGCTCCGCTCCGGCATTGATCCGGACCATTGACCTTGTATAAAATTCACAAGTGGACCTTTAACAAAAAAGTTTGAGTACCCCTGTTGTAGAGTATGTACAACCATTAGCCTTGTTCCAATATGCATCGGTTGAGTACAGCAGGAAGGCGGCATGTAATGATTATTTTCACTATTAATTCATCATTAGGTCTGAAAAATGTCAGAAAATATTAAAATAAGTCCACAGCAGTTTCTCAAAGACCAAGGTCGTATCTCTAAATGTCTTGTTTTGTCAGACAAAAGCAACATATATTTAATTTTGTATATTATGCACCGGTGAAAAGCACCTTTTTGTGATATTTCTGCATGACATGCGTTACAAATATGTTATTTTGATTATATTACAATTAATTAATGCATCAACTAATCTTCCAGCTATACGTAAATTAGCTATTCACTCCAATATTTTTTTCTCACATGATATTGATGCAAAACTCCCACATTTTTATTAAAACTCATATTATTTTTACATAAAAAGACAGTTAAATATGACGGTGTCGTGGTTTTCCACCTGGATTATGGTTTTTCCCTGATGCAATTAAGTACTAGTCTCCATTTAACCAGCACAGAGTTGCAGCTGTTAAACTATGCTGTTAGTATTCCTACTCGGCCCCGGAGGCAACGCTGTGACA